CCGATCACCTAAGAGAGAGTAAAGTTCCGATCTATCTTCCAAAAAACAAACTTCTAGCGAAAGTGCATATTTCTTCCAAGGATTAACATCGTTTCAGTCATTCCACTTGTGATTTCAGTTAATCATTTGGTATGAGAATGGGAACTTCACGAAAAGCTCTCTGTAGTGAGTAGCAGCAACATCTCCAACATCTCATGATATACACAAATAAGGATATTTTAAGCAAGCTTTTAGGAACTGCTATCGTACCCATAGGTTTGTGATTTACCCACGTCCGTTGGTATAATAATCATTCATACTAACTGCCGTAATATAAAAACCCCAATAATATCTAGATAATATTCAACGTATATGAGATATAGCAGAGAAAACTAGAAAGTTACCCGAAGGTTACCCAAAAAACACCTCAAAGATACAGGAAGTACCCAAAAATGAGAAAAGAAATAAGAAAAACCTCTAACCTTACGTTTCTTACGTCTCGGTAGTTTTGAGAACAGCAAATTCACACAGTTCCACTTCATAAACAGCCAGTAAAATGAGAAAAAACGCCCGGTTTAAACGAATTACGCTTCAGTGATTTTAGTAAATGAGAAAGATGACGTAGAGAACGTGAGCTACTGTGTGTCTAAGGAACGACTTATTGATTGACGCACTGTGGCGGAACCCTCCGTATTGCATTTGTGACAGAGACAAAACCGCTGTGCTTTACAGATTTGCTTAAATTTCTGGAATTTACATGACACCTCGTCACTGCTTTTCTTTTTCCCGATTTTCCATATCATTCGGGAAAATTGTCCTGGATCTCATAAGTGTCTGACATGAAATTTCGACAGAATAATATGCAAATATCTATAAATATCAACTGAAGCGAAATTACGATTAAACTGTTTTCGAGGGTAATTTCCAGTTTACCATTTATACAACCTATTGAGTGGTAGGATTAACCAAGTGAATTTAACTTCAAATAATTCAGTTCCAATTGTTATTAAAATACAGATTATTTCTGATCCGGAAAATGTTATTTAATTGAATTTGATTTGTTTTGAATTGTAGAATACAAATTAACTCTTCAGAGAACTTTAAAATTCTAAAATTTTGTGAGGATAAGAAGAACGTTGGAAAGCACAATGATCGATCTTAACCGATTGGAAATTCTCTTTGAAAAAAGTTTAGTCCTTTCTCTTTTTTATGTTAAACATGAAAAACGGAGGACACAAAAAGCAGAAAGAGATTGTCGCTTACTTAGGTTTTGTATCTCTCAAAAAAACTGTAATAAGCAATCAGTGACAATGGAAGTCTCACTTGTAAAAATTCATCTTTTAACGTATTATTTGAGTTATAAGTTCAAAGCAAAAAAAAATAAATTAAAAGAGGGAAACATAAAAAAGTTGGATGGGAAAAAAGCAATTATATTGAAATTGAGAAATTATAAAGACATACAAGTGAGGCCTTCATAATAGAAATTAAGAAACTGAAAATAGGTAAGCGAAATTATTCCATCTGAATGTCGGATTATCATCTAATTCGAACTTCATACATCAAATTATCCCTAAATATCTGGATATTAAGTTAAACTGAGTTGATATCAAATTAATTGAATAACAGATTAAAAACTTAAAAATTATTTAAATATTGAAATAAAAATTTTCGGATCAAATTGGAAAATATCAGACTATGTAAATATACAATCAAAATCCGGCTGTATGCTCGCATATGTTTAGTTGAATCATTAAATCAAATATCGAATTGAAAACAAATTAATCAACAACAAATTAATCTTAGTATCCAACTGATTTATATGGTTTGTTGTTGCATCGTATCGAGCCGATAATTAACGTCACATGTTTCCTTGCAAAAGTCAATCATTTAATAAAAAAAAGAAATCCTTTTTTAAGATCTGAATTATACCAATAAGTATGAGGGTGAAATGAAAATTGTGTCAGGTTGTATGCTGTAAATGTTCCGAAAATCCTGATTTTATGTCTAGCAATATCAGAGGAAATATCTAAACTATTCCATTTCTCTTTTAGCTTCATTTCAGTTATGGATGGATTTTTTCTTTTTTAATTTCTCATACACTTTTTTTTTTCACTTCTCACTAATTTTCATCAAACCTAAAGTTAGCTCGAGATTCAAGAACGAAAAATACCAACTTAAGTTAGTGTCTCGGGACACTCCTGTTTGATATGAATTTGTTGAATAATTTTAGAGGGAAATGAAAAAGCTGCAAATAATATATGGAAAACCTACACATTTCATCATTTGAATGAATAGCAGACAGTCAATCGAATAATTAAGATTAGCTCAGAGCTAATATAATTAAGAATTTGGCTCAACGGTTTGCACCAATGGAGAATGTTTTAGATAGGGTATGAGCGTATCGAATGATTTCCATCTCCTCCTCGTTCTTCATTGCACATTCTCGTTCGACAAAACTAACGATGGTGATTTGACGGGTGATGATGATGATAATACTCTTGACAATAGGTCATCTATTGTGATATGCGAACAAATCAAAATTCCACATTAACTTTGGGAAGATGAGAAAAAGAATAGAAATGGAGACATGCAGTCCTTCCAGCTATTTTGCTTGTTTCAAGTGCTAAATGCAAATGGGAAAGGATACCATTTGTAAGCATTTCTTTTTCTAAGCGCTCTGACGGTGAAAAGTCGTAAAATCGATGAGGAAAACCCAGAACGTTGGAATTCGTCCGTAAACATCACAGATTGTATATCGCGCCCTGCTTCCTTCTATTGGATATATCAGAACTTCCGAAGTATTTAGCACAATGTGTCGCATGATCGTAAGCTGGACATTTTAGATAAGACAGAATGACCAAAAGATGGCTTATGATACCAGCTGTTTATAGGTTAATTTTAAGTCATTTTAAAACTTTTCTATACTCATGCTTGAAATCGTAAGTAAATCAGATATTTTGCAATTCACGCCATCATCCCTTCTAATTCATTCGGATGGATCAACCATCGTTTATTCACCGTTTCAGACAATCAAAAGATGAATTGCTTTCTGTGTTTTTTCCGGGGATTCCGGAAAGATTGACCTGATTAACGGTCTTTTTCTTTTTTTTTTTGTACTGGGTTCAGGATCATTGCACTAGGCTTCTTATTAATAAGCAAAAGCAAATAAATGCAACATAATTGCTGAATAGTTAGGAATGAAAACAATGCGAAATCTGTGAGAAGTTAACAAACCTTATGGATTGAATTTTCGTTAATAATTTGGCCATTAGTTTGCCGTTTTTGTGTAAAAGAGAAAATTTGATATGGTTCACGACCTGGCAAAATGTTTCTCGTTTCTTGATCCGTTGCACCGCAGAAGTATGCAAGCATCTTGTTCGGATTGATTATCGGTAAACCACCCAACCATTGTATAATTTCTTCTCCCGTTAAATCAATTTTTGCTGTTTCTGGAGAATCTGACTGTGACAAAGATTTCTCAACCAAACCATCATAATTACCAACTTTTTTCTCATTCTTCCAGTCCAGATCATTATCAGTAAGTTGTTCACGATTTCGTAAATTTGCATCATTAATTCTAGTGGTAGTAATTAAATCAGAAAGAAGAACGAGAGAATCATCAACCGAGGCAAGAATCATTTCAAGTCCTCCCGGTCGCCGGTAGGTATTTTTAAGTGCTCGAACACTGTTTCGTTTGAAGCTTCCTTTGTGCTGTGCAGATGGAAAGCTGACACTACGTGATTCAAAATTTAGTCGCTCTCTATGCATATCCGGAAAGTATGATTCACTCTTTTTTTCCGTAAATCTTGCTGAACTGGCGCAGAACACTTGGAAGACAAGAAATTTAGTTAGTTATATCCTTAACACTTGTTGCTCTTTTAATGCTATGCTGTGATAATGAAGTTGGAGGATGTAAGAATTCCAAACTTTGACGAATATCGAAGGCAACGGAATTGAAGAAGTCCGTAAAAAGTGGGATCCAGAAAGGAACTTTTCAATAATAATAGCAAAAATGTAACAAATTTCAAATGCAAAATTTCATTTAAAAGAAAGATATTTTGAAATTTTAATCAACATCTAACAATGAATCAGTGAATGTTTTTATTAAAAAGTTTCATTTCTCAATGGATTTTTACAATGAGAAAGAATATATTATATATAAGAAAAGAAAGCTTACAGACGATAAAGAAATGACAAAAAAAATTATATTTCCATAGGATGATGAAATTTTAAAAGGTTAGAAAGTTAAGACGTCCATTAACAATTTCCGAATCATTCCTTAAATATTAAAAAAAAGGCGGCTTTCTAATGTTTTCATTGTGAAATTTTACAATGAAATAAAGCATAAATTTCAAAATCTAACTTTATGCAACTCCCTAGTTCTGTTTCTGAATTGACTTTTAAGTATTTGTCATTAAATATCCACAAAATCACATTCATTAATTTGAAAAATATACTCCGGCCGCTAAAAAATCACGAATCATCAGAATGACTAAATCAAGAATTTGTACACTAATTCAAATTTGGTAGAAGTTTAAAAAATGGATACAAAAAAATTTCCACAAGAATTACTAAGAAGAGATTTTTAATGAGTAGCTATTTCTTATAAAGGAATATAAGAAACTGAGCAGACACAAAGAGAAAGAGAGAGAGAGAGGGAGACATTTTGTATGTAAATTCAAAATTTGTAAAATGCAAATTTTCCTTTTGATAAAGGCGAACAATTTTTTTTACCGCTTATTCTGATCAAATAATTATTCTCTGTGAACGAATAAGAATTGAACAATTCATTTATAGGAACATATAATGTCAGCAGCGATATATTCTTTCTTTTTTTTCCACTTAAGCCAAATATTTGAAATTGTGAGATTAAGTATGAGAAAAAAATGAAATGTTTATGGGATTTTAAATATTTATTGTAGTCAATTAAGTAACTTCAGACATGGATTATCAAAGACATTTTGAATTGCTAATGTATTTTCATTTTGTAACAGAAGAAATTTAGGTAATTTAAATAGATCAAAAAATGAATTTAGTGGATCGAAAAATGTCGCATTCAATTCATGGAAGTTGGCAAGTCTGGACCATAAATTAGGAAAGACGTGACAGTTTGCAAGAAGTATTTTCAATGCCAAGTCAATAAAAGGCTAGGAGATAAGATAATTTAATTTAAATAAAGCTTAGAAGATGAAGTAATTCAATGCGGATGAAAGTTTAATTTAATGTCGAATTAAAGGCTTATGTATTTGTTTATACGACAGAAACTCTATATAATCAATACGTTGAGCCCTTTCGTATGATTGAGAGAAAGCAATTGGTCAAGACGAATATTAGCATAATTTGGATAAATTTACGCTATGCTTTAACTTGGAAGATATTCAAATGAGATTTGACATGTCAAATATTGCATCATTGGACAATAAAATTGTTGATTGAAAAATTGATTCCACTTTGGCATGAAACCGTAATTTTAGTTCAAATAAAGCAAAAAAAGAGAAAAAGGTGAAGGAACCTAAAATGTGATGTTAAAAGATTTTATACAAAAATAATTTCCATACTTTGTCCCCTCTTCCTCTACCTAAGAAAATGGTGACATATTCATTATAATATTTTAATATATCGTCTCATTGAATTGCTAATATTTCGCTTATAGCTATAAAAACAATATGCATTGGCCTGAAATGAAATGAAAAGTAAAACGTGCACTTGCACTTTTGTTGGATATTTTGACAAAAGTGTCAGATGATTTGTCTTTAAATGAAACCCAATTTGTAATTCGAAAGAAAGAAAACGAAGTCACCTCTGAATAGCTTAAATTTATTTTAATAACTTCAGACATTTTAGTAAATTATGGCATAAAATTTACTTTGAATCTTCTAAATTCTAATAAAACCAATAAAAATAATAAAAGGGTTGGGAGAAAAAAGCAAATTTTCCAATAAAAAAAAATTAAATTCCATCAAAACATGCATTTAACTTATATTTACACTAATCCTCCTTTTTTCATCATTTTTGCACATCTTTTCCTTTGACGAGGATCATTTAATTAATAAGCATTATCATACTTCGCCATGTAACCTTTTTCAAGGGACAACTATGATTTGCCTTCAACAGAAATTTTTTCTTTTTTGTATTGAACAGAAAATCTTTTGAAATGATAAAGTTTTGCATAAATTTATTGAAATACATATTCAATTTGAAAATTTTTTCTAGTCCAAATGACAAGTTCAAGCATACGTGTTGAATGTTGAAGTCTTCCCGGAACTGGTCAATATCCATTGATATTAGCCATTAATTAATAACAGTATTTTTTAAAAAAAGAGAAAATTGTTTGTTAAAAAGACAATTGATATAAATTCACGATTAATTTAAATTTTTTGTTAAATTATGGTAAGTATGACTGATTTTAACGATAAAGCATATCATTTGAAAAGTGGGTGTATCACAGAGTAGAAGTTAAATAAAAAATTTAGAAAAGAAGATGAATTTCCGGTTATTGAAGAGCAAATATTCAGTGTGAGAAATGTTAGATGAAGAAGGAAGAAGAATCAATTGCTCCTTCTGGACTAATGCGCCAGATGATAGAAATGGACATATGGCAATATGATGGGCAGGCAAACTGCTGACCAAAGAAAAGCTAAGCTATCTAGTAGCAAGTTGACAGAGAGCTATACTATGACTAATGATTTCCTATTTCTCTGATATTGGAAATAGTACATACAACGACTCATCATACGAGAGACAGGTAATTCACACGGACAGAGAAAACACGAAAGGATGGACAAATATGACATAGTTGTGAGATGACCGCAGGAATTTAATTTCAGTATACCGTTTAACAGTTCTTCCATTAAATTACTCGTTAATTTTTTTTTATTTAAAAACTTTTATAACACGTTATAAATAAAATTTTATAAGGGAATAAACCGGGTATCCATCTTTTGATGGGTTGGAAAAGTTAAAATGTCTTGATGTCAATTTGATAAATGAATGGTTCAAATGTCCTATATCGATTATGCGCAAGTATCACAACACAAAAGCATTATATGTTTGCTGGGCAACAGAAAACGAACGTTAGTATAAGTTCAAACCTTTGCCTTTTTAACAACTAACATAAACAGATCACGTATATCTCACGTTTACGTTGGTTAAATATGTAAAATTGCCATGTTCGTGATATATATGCAATATATTACTATTTTCCGAAGGTATGAAACTTTCATTTTCCTATTAAAAGAGAACGAAAAAAAAGAGGGAAAGCATGAAAAGAGAAGGAAAAAGTGTACTTGGAATAAACGCCATTATTCATATTCTCCAATTTGTGTTTTATTTGCATTATTCAAATTCCTATTCCAATTTATTTTCTCTTTTACTTCCCTCTATTTGTTCACTACCGCCATTTATTATTATTATTATTATTATTATTATTATTATTATTATTATTATTATTATTATTATTATTATTACCATTATTATCATTACTATTATTATTAATTATCATTATTAATTTCTACCATCATTAACTATTATTAATTATTATTAACTACTATTACTACTATTACTATTAATAATGTGACTGTAAAATGACTAAAATGAAAAGTTGAAAAAATTGTTCACATGAGTAAAGGATGTAAGAGTTTTCATGGGGAATGACAAAACATTAGCTTCTTGATAAGAGTAAAAAAAGAATACTTTTTTTGCTCCTATCAAATTTCAATATGAATAATGAATCAATTATTAAAGAATGAATAATCTGGTCCTCTAGGATGGAAAAAAAAAGTAGAAAGTAAATGAAATAAAATCTGATTATGGAAAAAATGTAAACCTTGAAGCCGATTCTAATTATGCTTTCCCTTCGTTCCTGTTATAATTTTATGCCGTTAAGATACTGACAATTTATTTTATTCAATTTAATTTTCAATGATTTTAAATTGACTAAAAAAGTCTTTTTTTGCATTTTGTGATATAAAATTTAAAAAGTTCAACGTATGAAAAAATACTAATTGGCATGTTTTATTAGATAACATTTGTTTAAACACAGTTGGATTACAATTTTTTAAAGGGTAAATCTAATCTATTTTCAAATATTTTCAAGAAAGACCTAATGAAATATATGAAATATAAGGTCAACAAATTTTACCTTAAACTAATCTTCACTTCTGGAACTTATAGATATCTCTCTCATTAATACATAAATTCGCTTAATTAACATGAAAAATAAAAAATTTGACTGAAACATTCAAATATAGTGAATGCATTGGAAGAATATATTCCCTTTCTTTCATTTTCGTTAATTTCATTTATCGGTAAGATGAAAGAAGCCATAAAAGGCCTGTAATCAACAAACTACCACAATTCTTTGCAATCAGTGCTATTGAGGCTAAGATCAATTTGTGAGGCTAAACAAAAGAAAGCAAAATCCATCGCTAATCATTCTCAAACATAGAACAGACTAGGACATTTAAAACAAATGGCAAATATGGGATATGGCCTAGCACCGCGAAGCACCAATGTCTAACAGTGCAGGATGAGAACACACCCACATGAAATACACACACAGACACATACACACGCATACATACATACATGGCGTACACAATAGTTAAATTAGTTACTAAAGCTACCAGTCTCATTGATGGGATGTGTAAGGCAGAGATATTCAATTTTTTCTCATCACTTGATAAGGACATTAAAATTTTGCTGACATAAGCCAAGAAATACAGTGGACAAGAGAGAGATACGAGCCGATAGGCAAAAATAAGCCAGGTATTGCTGGATTTCAACCAATTGAACAGTTTTCATCTTTATAATTAAGCAACTGAAATGATTCGGAATTTACACCATAAAAAAAAAGGGAGAAGAAGGGGTAATAGTTGGACGAACCTGGTCATGTCCTTCCCATGTGCCAAATGGATTCATGCTTGTCATGGTGACATGGTCATTGTCCAAAAATAATGAATGATGCTGCTGAAAACGATGTAACTGAAGATTATATTCCGGAAGTTTGCTCCATAAGCCATAGATGACAGCATATTCACGATGAGTTATCAGTTATCAGAAAGTTATTCAGATATAAAATTTCCTTCTGACAAAAAAAATATAAAATTTTCATCCGTAGAAATAATATCTACTGCTTCCGAAGGTTTGCCAATATTAAAGAGAATCATAAAATGGAATAAAGTAGTGGAAGAAAAATTTCGAGATTTCGCTAATTGAATTTGCGTTTACTGTTAAGGAAAAAAGGAAAATGGTAAGGGTGTTAGAATGATTTGAGACTAAGTGACGGTAACTGCTTGGACCAGTGTCTATATATGGTTTAGTGACCGATAATAGGTATCGAAAAAGAAAGTGAATATTAAGGATGGAATGATTGAACAGATGGTATGACTCACTCAATCAAACTGTTCCAACTATTCAAAAAGAAGAGAAAGAAAAAAGTAGCTTCGGAAATAAGAAGACAAATTGGATTAAAACATTTCCTTATACTTATCCTCATCTATAATTTCTAAAATTTATTTTAAAAAGATTTGCTTTTCAACAAATTAATTAGTAACAAAAGTGGCTTGAACTGAAGCATTTCACCAAATGGACAACTTAGCTTTGATCGATTTTATAATAGTTTATATAGACTTCAGAGCCAAAAAATAGGGGAAGAGAAAGTATAGAATGTAGTTCTTACCCACTTTTTTTTTTTTAATTTCTTGAGTGTCAATTTGATAACTGGGCATGTCACTTGTTCGGAGAGTAAAAATTCAAACAAAAAAAATTTGTAAAATCAAAGAAAAAAAAATCAGACATTATGCGAACAAACAATTGGAACTGAAAAGCTTAGTTCGAGATCGACATGATTCTTATCAAAAAATAATGAAGAAATCATTGGCTAGGACTAGATGATTCAAACGGTGGATGATAGCCTTGTCGATGAGTACTTTAAATGGCAGGACTACCATCGCATTCTTTTTTTTTTAACTCAAACTTATTCCTATTACATTATCATTTCCAATTTACACAGTGTTATCATCAGTAGGGTGACGACTCAAAACCGTATGAATGAATTGGTCAGTTTAGGAATCTTAAATATAAACTGAAACCAAAACTTTTCCAATTTTCAACATTGACCATTAGGAGCAATTATGAATATTTATGAAATGGAACAAATTCAAATATTCACTTTTAATTAGATTGCATCAATTTGTGCGCGAAGAAGAGAGAAAAAAACGATGGAATTTATGATTTAGTAAGGTTTTTTAAATGAAATCACTTACCTTTCCATTACTGTTTCTTCTCATGTTATTCGAAAAAACCGTTGGAATAAATACTTCACGTCGTTTGACAAACGAATTAAGTAGGATAATGATCGGATTACGGCAAAAATTAAATCGAGAATTGTTTTTGTTGTTGTTGCCACAACTGATATCAATCGATGAAGTTGTTGGCAAAATGTGAACTGAATGCGATCGTTTTGGTACAGTCATTGCTGTGAATTTTAACTACAAAAGGTAATCGAAAAAAAAAAACATCTGTTGTTTACTGTATACAGCGAAAAATTAGAAAATTAAGAATTAAAATTAACACGAATACTAAAAATACATTTTAAGGAAAGGCGTATTTGCATTTAAATGAAATTTGAAAAAATCGAATTTTCGTTCAATTAAGAAAAAGTTATTCGAATTAATGCTACAGTGATATCATAAATGGTTAGTAAATCCTTCTGATCCAAATAGTATCAAATGCAGTCATGTAGATGCATTAGTACAATGAAGTGACTTGGATATGTGACTTCGGAGAAGATAACATTACCAAATGAATGTTTACATGATTAAAAATTGAATTAAATAAAGTTAAAAATGGTGAAAACAAGTAGTATATTTTGCATTTCATAGCCATAGAAATTAAATAACGAATAAGAAAGCCTCCGAGCATATAGGAATAAGATATGATTTTAAACAGTTGATCAGGTCAAGAAGATAAAGAAGATAGCGCTGGCGCGTAATTGGGGACAAATAAATGAACTGCTAAAACTAAGTTATAATTAGTATCAAACATAAGTATAATAAAAATTGCGGGAAAATCCACTTTATTTTGGGTCCTTGAAAGTTTCGTGTGATTGTTCTTAATGAACATGTGAAGTTCGAATTTACAATTGTTATTTTTCACATATGAATTTTGGAAATTTTTTTAAAGAATGGTTCATTACGATGAGATGACAATTTACTGAATCTGAAACCTGGTTTCGTATTTTGGATTCTGTACAATATTTCATAAGGACTATAGAAAGTATTATTGTTGACATAGAGTCGAAAGCACTCTTGGAAGCTTTTTCAATCGTGTTAACAAGATAAATCGAGATTAATTTATGCAATGTAAAGCCATGAATGAAATGACAAATGATGACAGTTCATATCACCTGGACTAGCTTTAGGAAACTCAAATAGGTCAGAACTGGAAAGTACAGTCTTATCATTAACAGCAAAAACATAACAAATTTTCCTTGGTTTATCGTGTAAATATCTTTACCGTTGATGTAAACAAAAATAAGGGTAAATTTAAATCATATAACTGCACTGATATTTATAAGAAATTGTGAAGAAATTTTCTTGGAAGAATTTTCATAAAAGTTTTAACTTATCAAATTAATCTAAACGATAAAATCAAACTGTATTTGTGTACATATATATGTACTAAATAAATAATGGATAGATTTAGTCTTATATTTCATTGTTTAAAAAAAAAAAGAAAAAATGCTATGATAAAGTAAAGGAAATCCACTAATAATAATTTGTTCGAGAAATAATATAACGGAAAATAATTTAGAGGAAAGCTTTAAAATTGAAATAGTAAGGTGAAAATAAATTCGATAAACAAAAAAAAATGAATTAAGTAACTTTTGGAATATGCATAAAGACATAATTTAGGAAATAGACTTGCGGATATATCAGAAATTATCTAATTCGTTTTAATTCCTCATCAGATTTACTTCTATCATATTCTTTTTATTCTGAATATTTTTGTTAAAAGATGAAATATTATTTGATATCATGTCTATTATCAATGGATGAAAAGAAACATTGACTAAATGTAAAAGTATATTGAAATGTGGATCCAAACGTGATCGAATGGATGTTGATGGATTTAATTTAATTAGTTGATGGATTTAAAATGTTTAAGTGAACTACCGACTGTATCTGACAATCACACTTGATAGAAGAATATTTGGAATATTTCCACCGCTCTTTTATCCATCTATACTTGCCGGTACCGTTCCGTCACTTCCCCCATTCACTACCACTATGCAATTTAAAAATTTTAAATTAACCTATAAAAACTGGCTCATTCTATTTCTACCGCAGCGTTTTTCTTTTGAATATTGTTTATATTATACGCAATGAGAAATTTGCTTGTTTGACAAAAGAATGAAAAAAAAGAAAAAATTTCAAATAAACGATTTTACATTTTGCCATGGAATCCAACAGAGCAAAAGATGTTCATTGAATAATTTGATCAAATTAAGGAAAAATCAGTTGCCACTTGTAGTTTTGACCCAGATGGAGTAAAAGAAAATTTAGAAAAAGTTCAGATTTAAAAAAAGAAAAAAAGAAGGATGACTGAGGAGAGAGTTGTTTGCCTAAAACAAATTATACATGTATTAAAAATTACAATGCACGGATCAGTTAACATTATATTTTTTTCATTCCTCTGAAACACTTAATAGTGTATTTCACTCTCGAATGGTTCGTTCCCTGATTTTCAACTATATTTTTCAATTTCCAGCTCTTTTATACCGAAAAGTATTATTATTCGAAATTAAATAATCCTTACTTTGTTGTCAAGGGATAATGACTATTTAGTAGAAGTATTGATGTGATCCTCAAGCATAATTGGGTTACTGAGCAAAATTACGAGAAAACATCATGATTATTATGATGGAACGATTTAGCGCCTTCTAAAAGACTTTCCAAAATTACATTTCAATTTAGATATTGATGAAAGAATTCGTTTCTTATTTCTTTTATATCATAAAAATAGTTGACATAAAGTGATTTGATATCTCAGATCTACAATTCATTTTGCCAAATACCAAATTAAAAATTAATCTTCGTTGCAAACACTTTATTATCTTCATTGCGGAATATTTCCTTTTAATTTAAAAAGACAGCATTTGAGCAATTTGGATTCTTTTAATAACGTTTATGAATTAACGCTTATGATTAAAAATTTTTGCATTACATTTAATTGTTATTGTGCTTTAACTGTTATTTAGTAATTATCATTGTCATTAATTTTCCGAAATATTTAGTCACTATCCGTTATTCAATCATATCAAAAAATTATAAAGTATAACTTTCACGAAGTATTATAAAGCATAACTTTTATGCAATATAACTTATGCATCATAACTTATAACGTTTGCAAAGTGTAACTTTCAATTATAAAACATAACTTTTCCGGCGGGATACTTTATCTATGATAAACACATTTTATTTGCAAAAATCAAGTTTAGTTAGCATGCTAGCATACTAAGTTTGTCTTCAGTGTATCATTATCAGTGATATATTAAGTTATCAATAAGCATAACAATTAGATTTCGCATGGATAAAAAAAAGAAAGGAAACATTTTCGGAACTAGTTATATGGTAATGTTTGCAATATGTCTCGATGATTTTGCTGATTTTAATAAAATTGCTATCTCATTGAAAAAATAATCTTGATTCTGATGATATTTGACATAATTGAGAAATAGTACAAATTAAGGTTTTTGTCTTAACCTTTGACTTTATATATTATTTGTTATTTGTTTTACAACTTGCATTTCTATGTTCAACAATTTTGTAAACTTGCTTGAAGATGATCGTTGGAAAAAATCATACCAACATTATTTACAACTTAGCTGGAGTATGTAATGAAGCAGTTATATTCGATAAAGCCAATGATTAGAAGAATTGTGGGAGGAAAAATTTTCGACCTATTCTCAAACTTTCAATGAGTATGACTTCTTGCTTGCCGTAGGTGTATTCCAACTGCGCCATTTTTGGCAACTGCGCCATTTTTGTATTCCAACTGCGCCATTTTTGTATTCCAACTGCGCCACCTGCGCCATTTTTCGCCATATTATAATTTTTCCTATTGTTTTAATGTTACGTGAAATTCAATGTCTGAATTTAAGAATTATATCCTCATGCTCTAAATAAACATTTCATTAATCTCCTGAAAAAGAAAACAAGAAAAAGAAACTTAAAAATGGAAGTGAATACCTTTTTTAGGATTCATATAGTCATTTACTGAATCTGATAATTTCATGTCACATCAAAACTATTGAAAAAATATGATATAAAATAAAGAAAACCATAGACTGGAGACATTTCTCGAATATCCGACAAGCAGATAGGATTGACTTATCTTTAATTCCAGCAAAACTGCACATACGAGTTGGTATTAGTTGTGCATC